TGCAAAATCATAATTAAAATTAAAAAAAAAAGAAAGAGAAAGTGCTCCAATTATACACCTATATGTTGTTGTTTTTTCCCCTATTTGATCTGTAGCTTCAAGCACTAACTACATTATGTACACATTGTGTGAGCAATTGTATATGGGGTTGGTGTGTACTGGAAAGAACTTTTATTTTCCCCATGAAACTGAGTTAACTTTGCGTGGGAGACACCTATGTTGTCTAGCTGCTGTTTTAAACATACGCATTCATCGTTATACAGCATTCCCCCCCCCCCAACATTTTTTTTTTCACACTTACAATGAAGAGCTCTAAAAGACATCACAAATAAAAGTCCCGTATTTTACCTTTAATATGTTTTTTTGAGACTAAACAAAGTTGCAATCTTGGCATATTGTGTTGTACAGACCCTGCACTGACCATTACCATTCTCCAATGCGCGAACGTCTACCCTATGCGAAGCAGTTGCAGGTGATACAGCCATCTCCTAAGTCCCACTTACTCCTGGAGGCTGGATTCGGACCCGACTATCCCTAAAAACCCCTTCAAAGAGGCCCAAAGTGGCTCAGCCGCAGGGGAGCGAACTCCCCATCACCACCTTACGACCGCCAACGGCATCGCCCGGTCCAACAAAAAAGGAAAAAAAAAAAAATATGGAAAACGCAAAACCAGAAGCGAAACTATGACTAGCACGTAGGACACCTAGAACAGACTTGCCTATTTACTGTCCTTAATTAATTACCTGCTGAATCTCCTCGTTGCCTCGCAAAGCATTTCCGCAAGCGATGCTTCTCCCTATTTACAAGGCTCCATAATAAATAGACTGCTCGGGGGCTGCTCCGAGGCCGCTGGCCGCGTTCTGCCAGAGGCGGCTGCGGGTACGACCCTGACGTCGGACCTGCACGGTCCCTGCCTCGGGGACGTGCAATCTTCATGCCTAGGAGGTAGGGGGGCCACAGGAGGGGTCCGGCGTGCCCCGATGCCGCGGGAGCTCCCCGTCCCCGTCCCTTAGACGGCGCGGAGAGCTGCGGTGGTGTCCCCTGGCAGCGCTATGGGGTGCGACAGCGGTATTTTGGGGACGGGGTCCCTTCCACCCGCCCGACAGCAGGTCCTTCCCCACCGCCAAGAGCGGGGACTTGAATGTGTGGGCGCTACTTTAATTAAAGTTTAATGCTTTAGTTTAGTTAGAGAACAAGGATTCTGGTCTCAATGCATTAACCTCTTCTGTGGCCTGTAAGAAAAAAACGGCGACCGTACTTTCAGCCAAAGTTGCCGTTTCCCTCCACCGCCGGCTCCTTGTAAGGTGCCGTCACCTCCAGCCGGGAACGGCAACGCCACGTCGCATCCACAGGGATCAGAGCGGGGGGACAGAGCAATGGCACGGTCGCCTTTTCAATGGGACCCCTTGGATTAATGTAAGGTTTCTTAGCTGGGTTACAAACCGTAAGCAATACTAACAAGCAAAAAGGTTTGCAAAAAGCAATCTATTTCCATTGCTCGATGTGCTCCTTCCTTACCTTCCGCTGGTCCCACTGCGAGGAAAGGGGCCTGACGCTGCTCCTACTTGTGGGGCTGTAAAGTTCAGTAGTGGATGATGCAGGGAGGAGGAGGAGGAGGAGGAGAAGGGAGAGGAGGAGGAAGAAGAGGAGGAGGTCCTGCAGAGGGAGACTGCACAGAACTGGGTCAAAGCACAATAAACTAGTTGGTTTGATTTATAGTCATGCGGGGTTGGAATGGCTGGATTGCAAATGCCGCAGAAAAAATATCTGCTGCCGAATGGAAACAGGTTGGTTTATTTTTAAGCACTCAAACAGTTTTGTTTGACTTAGGTTGCATAAACGTTCTGAAAAACCTGAAATGTTTAGACAAGCCGAAGTCTGACAGCATCTCCTTTGCGGCCAAGCAGCTCCTTTCACCACGCGGCACGTCCCCCCCGGGTGACAGCGGGGCGATGCACGCTGCCGACCGGTCCCTACAGCCTCCGGCCCTGGTCCCGCAGCAGCCATCCCACGCCGCTGCCATCCCCTTCCCTACCTGAAATCCATCACCCCAGCCAAAGCCGCAGCAGACAGCAAGCACCAAGCGCTTCTGGAGCAGGGATTTAGCTACAGCTCTCGGCTAAGCGGTGCCAGGCGGATTGCACGGCACGGTTTACGGCGGAGACCCAGCCGGCCGGCATCGCGGGATCTGCATGAGCATCCCAGGAGCCGCGTGGAGCCGGCAGGCAGCGGCAGCAACCCAACGGAGGGAGAACCACCGGCATCACCCCGGCCCTCGAGCCACGTCCTTCTCCTGAGTCGGTGATGAAGTTACGGTGACAGACACGAAACACTGACGGGTAGTCATCAGCGAGAAACACTAAGTGCTTTTTTATTATTCGCTACTTCTGCTGTGACCGGGCAGCTTCTGCGGAGGTGCAAAGCCCAGATGGTGAAAAACTCCAGCCCGTGGCTTTTCCGACAGAGAAAGGGAAGAATCAAGCCAGCCCCGTGGGCAAAGAGCCGAGGCTGCAGGGCAACGCAGCCCACCCGCGCCAGGCAGCTGGAGGACAGGGGCTGCGAGGTTTGCCGAGGGCGACCGGGAGGAGCTGGACGCTACGTGGCAGAAGCAAACTAAGACTTTCACAGCGGTGACACGAGACGACCGAGTTCCCGAGTACGGAACGGGAATTTGGAAAGGCGTCAGGTGCCGGCAGTTTGCCAGGCACCGCGCCTCATCCTGGCCGAGGCCCGTGCCGCCGGCCCGTGCCCGTGGCACGATGTCCTCGCCTCGCTGCTGCCATCGGAGCCGTCCCTCTCCCGAGGTCCGAGCCATCGCCTCCTGGTTTCCTCAAGAAACTTGAGGGAGCGGGTGTGATCGCTCTTCCGAGCCGTGAAAGGACAAACTGACCCATCGACCGACCGACCGACCAAGACAAAAAAGAAAGATCGCATCCTTCGTAGTTAATAACATATTGGTAACGTTGGCGTCCCCTCGGGCAGACTTTTACCACATTCCACTTCATACAAGACACATTTCAAATGCTCGTTAATTTACAGAAATTGCATTTTATAGAAAATACGATACAATGAAATATAAAATGCACTAGGAGCATTTCAAAAATCTATAGAGACGATCTTGCAGCCTAGTATACCCTCTGAAACGATGCCCACTCATCACCGCAAGCTCTCGTCCTCTCATTCTCCCGCTCTCTCGTGTGCACGCGCTCGCTCCCCCCCCCCCCCTTAACTCTTAGCATTCAACTTGAGAATTAATAGAGATATCAAAAAAAGCACGATTATCCCCTGGATAATCACCTTCCAATACTGTGCACATTCTTGGATTTAAATGAAAATATATCTAAGCACTTTTACAAGTTTTAGCGAACCCACTGCAAAATCGTCTGCAGAATATAAAACACAGGTAATCCAAGATTTCATAGCACATTAATTAAGTGGCTCATAATCCATTAAATGTGGTTTATATTACACATCCATGCAGTCTAAATCATTTTACAAACATTAGACATAAACCCACTAGTCCAAATCAGTAAAGGAAAAATGTAATAAAAAAAGCTAGTAACTATTTGTTATTGGTTAAACTGACCCTACATATAAACTAGGTAGTATGCTACCATTTATAATACTGATGTTGAGTTACGCCTGGATGCTGCAAAACCTCTTGCTGACTTGGCAATGCTGGAGCATATTAACCACAAGATACTTAATAGGCCCTCGTTGCACTTCTTCTCCAAAAAAACACATTTACTACAGATAGCAGCGCCTACCCATCAAAGAGAAAGGACACACATTAGCTGAGTTACATGATGTTGTTGAGCTTTGGCTACTAATGCTCCAAGGCATTAATGTTGTACTAAACTAACTTCGTACTTACGGATGGCAAAAGTGCTGATAAACTCTTCCCGCCCTTAGCGCTGCCCCGGCCTCGAGCGGAGCCGCTACACGAACGCCTGCCTTACGCGAGGAAAACAGCATCCATCGGCTTTCGTGCTAGCGGGCGTCCTCGGAGACGTGGGACACCACCGCCACCTAACCCAGCTGGTATTTACATCGCTCAAGAGGTCGTGGGAGCCAAAACACGCCGATAGCATGAAAACAAACAAATGGGCCTTTGGTCATTTCACAATTTACTTCGTAGGGTTTAGGCAAGGGCTGTCGGAGATTTCTGTTGCAATAACCAAAGGCTTTATCAATGCTATAGTTCTATGCAGCTACATCGAGTGTGACCAGGTGACAGCAGAGCCCCTAGTCGGTATTTTGCATCAGGTAACACTGAATTATATACAACATGATGACTAGTTCACCACCTGCTGAGGCTTAAAGATGGCTGTTAAGATTTCGACTCAAAACATCTTCCCCCCGCCCTGACCCCCTCATCCTCTTCCACCCCAGAATGAGTCACCCCCTTAAAAAAAAAAAAAAAAAAAAAAAAGGCAAAAAAGAAACAATCTCCACAGTTCCTTTTTGTTAACTCCTTCCCAGCTAGAACTGGCTTAGGGTCACAGGGAGTGCTGCCCAGGATGGTTGTGTGTTTGTTTTCATCACTCCTGAGATTGAAGGGAATCTGATACATGCACCAAAAGGCACTTTCAAATATATATATATATATATTTTAAAAACAGTGCTTCTGTTCTAAGAAATTCAAGTTAAGACAGAGTGCCTTTCACTCTCTTTAGTCATAAAGCAGATAAACGAGCAATATCCCAGCTGACATTAAAAAACCAAACCAAAACAACAAAAAAAAACCTGCAGCAGAGACAAGTGTTCATGCGAGACAGCTCAATATTCTAAAAAAAAAATTGGAAAGGAAAAAAAAGGAAAAAAAAAAGAAACCTCCTATATCACCACTAAAAATAACAATACAGTCAGCAGGGGATATTAATTAAAAAAGCTGCCACATCTGTACAGTTCTTGCTTCTGCATCGGCTCTTTTTGTTAATGTTGTCATCTGTGGGTTTGTTGTTTTTTTTTTCTAAACTGTTTTTTATTTTCTTCTTCTTCTTCTTTTTTTTTTTTTTTTTTAAATAACGTGAGGTCAGTTTAATCTTCCTCGCCTCCCCCGTACATGTCCGCCAGTTTCTTGAACCTGGGCCCCCAGTCGTTAAGGTAGTCGTAGTCCTGGTCCCCGGAGCTGGAGGAATTGAGGGAACTGACGGAGCCGGCGGTGGAGCCGCTGCCCTCGTAGTCGAAGACCAGCAGGGAATCGTAGGGGGGGGCCGTGGGGTCGTTGTCCGCCGCACGCAGGCCCTGGGAGGGGGCAAATACAGGGAGTTACTACCTGCCGTGGGGTTTTATGGTGATGGTGCTGAGGAAGGGGGTTCGGGTAAAGGCTCTGGGCTGGTGGGATGTTTGGGATCCCTGCAGCAAAACTAAAAGAGGACGGTGAAAAGCTAAATGAGGATGGTGAGAAAATGAGGGTCCTGGGGCTTCCATGTGCCCCTCCCGGGGTGGAGGCCTCCCAGCTGCACCCAGCAGAAAATCCACTAACTCCCAGTCCCTCTGTAAAAGAGCTGGATGGAGCGGGAGGGGAGTTATTTCCAAGGATCCAGCTCTGGATCTGGAAAGTTTTCAGTTCTGGGACAGCGTGTCCTTTCTGGGGTTGCCTGTTAAGATTTTTAGCTTGGCCAATCAAAGAATGAACAGCACTCTTCCTCTCCTACCAATAACCATTATTTTAATTTTGATGATTTTGACTCCTTTAGGAAAAAAAAAAAAACCCACAAAAACACTCCTAGCAAAATTCTGCAATTAGGAGAGACCTGGGGTGTGAAATCCTGGGCAGAGGTTTGGGAAGCACTGCTGTTCCTGTGTGTTGCGGGCAGCAGTGTAGGCATGCCACAAAAATGGCCTCGGGATATGGAGAAAAAGAATTGCCTTGCTGCAGCCCGGTGTCAGGAAAAGCCTAGTGGAATAGACCTGCAATAAAGCAAAACGTTCTGCATTCACACCTTCAGAAACCCCTGTCTCGGCGTGGGGAGATGGAGCAGGTTTTACTGCAGTGAATAGCAGCCGGAGCTTGTGGAAGAGCGAGTCTTCACGTGCATGGATGTGTGTAAATGTGCACGTGAAGGATGGGCAGGAACAAAGGAAGAAGGAATTTTAATGATGAAAATAAGAAAAAAGCACAGCAGGAAATGGATATAATAATAGAATTAAATCGCTATAACATTCATTTTTCTGACTTAGGAAATGGATGGTGTGTTTTGTCTCGGAGGAAATAATGCATTGATTGGTTTGTAACCACTCAATCACTCAAAACTAAAACTGAGACAAGAAATACTAAATATTTGTACAAGCAGATAAAGGAGCAGTAATCTAACATAAAATAAAGAAACTCTCTGATCTGAGATGCACCCCTCTGTTCTGTACACTCTTTGAGGCTTTAGACCAAACAGAGCTTACTAGGAAGGCACAGACTGGTGAAATAATTACAAGTCCAGGAGCCACAAATGGCGCCTTTGGCTTTCGGCAACCCACGCGGCTGCTTTGCCACCGCCTCCCCGCCACGACGACACTCCTTTGGCCACATCCAGACAACGTTTTTACTGACAGCAACTGCAATATTCACAGTAATCCAAGGGAAAGCTGGATCAGGTTATACTGCCCAGATGCTGAAAAGCGTGGTGTTTGTGATATCCCCAAGTCAGAAATCTTAGGGGTTTTGTTTGCACTTTGGCTTTTGACAGGCTTGGTGCCTTCATTAGGCCAAGTCCTGCATCCTTTGCGCACACAAATTGTTCCCCTGGCTTTGATCAGACTCCTCATGTGAGTTATAGCATCACTCGGTCCATGCAGCCAGGAAAACGTCGCATAGCTGATGCTAGCTGGCTGCTCAAGCTTTTAAGATGTGACACAGGACAGCCTACAGAACATACCTCATTAATAAAGTCACCAATATCCCCTGGATGTGGGATTACTGGTCTTACAGGATACTGTGGTTCAGCACCAATAGGTCTTTCATCCACCCTTCTGACTCCAGGTGTCTTGTTCAGCACGTGATCCATGGTCTCTGGCTGCTGGAGCTGGCTTAAATCGTAATCCTGTGACAAATGGAAAGGCACAGAGTGAAACCAAGAGCTTTTCATTCAGATCATCTACTCACCCAATGTACAAATAAGTCGAGGGGTCTAATCCTATTTCAGCTGAAGTTCAATGGCAAATCTTATCCCCGGGTACGTAACACCTCTAAAAATCTAAATTACAGATGAACCTGACCTCTGAGTAGCTCATAAAATTGGCCTCCTAAGGGTGCATCCTAAAACACAAGTTAAATCAAATATTTAAATATTTTTTGAATATTTCACACAGCGTCTAAATCTTTGGGATAAAAAATAGGCTTTTGTTTGCATGTGCATAGATATGTGTATAACTTTTTGATGAAATACATAATGTAACGTAGACACAGTGTTGGTAGACATATTATTGCAATTACATTTCTACAGAAGTAAAACCATTAAAATGTGTATTGCATTTATGCATGTAGGCCTTTCAAAGTAATTATGTTCTTTCTGCTTGTGAAAAATCCCAACAGAATAGGTTTCTATCAGGGAATGAGAACCAGGTAATATTTCATTAAAAATGTATTCATGTAGGTAATGGTGTTTTGCTGCTCTTCCTTTGCTGTTATTTTTAACGAATCCTTTCTAAAATATTTAAGCCTACAGTGTAGTTGCCTGAAACCAGATACTTCAGCTAGTTCGAATGCTTATAACAGTACTTTGTTCTACCGGTAAAACTGTTCTTGTGCTCAGACGGGGATGATTGAATCTCCAGGAGCAATATTTATAAATAACTTGTCAGTGACAAGAAAAAAGAAATGCTAATTGCAAGGATTTTTCCGTGGAATAAGAACTTCTCAAGTTTCGGGCAAAATCCCTGCCTCGGCTCCCCGCGGTGGCTCACCTTCGGATGCTGCCAGGACCTCCACGGCAGGACACGCTGCTGTGGTTTCGTCTAGCCCTTAAGCACCAGCCCTAACCACTGACCTTGGGACTCACTGACACCAACCACGAACGCAGCAGCCTCTGCGCAGACCCCTGAACCACGCAGTCCGTTTACGCAAGCACGAATAAAGCCATTATACGATGCAGAGCCGCATAATTTGTGTGAACTTTGTATTTGAGAGTGTCGTGGGCTCTTTACCTGTGTTAGGTAGGAATAAAAAAAAGGCGACCTAAACACGAGTGACCAAACTTTTCTATTTTAGCTAAGGAAATACATTGGTAGCAGAGGGACAGCACGTCCCAGGAGTGCAGGCCAGGGAAGTTTTCATGCAACATCAGCATCGGTGTCTGTAAGAAGGAGCCAGTGCAGAAAAGCTGACGCATTCAGGCAGACTGTGGCTTAGGGCTCTGTCACCAAGCACAGCTTTGCCACTGTACGCTTTGCGGTGAAAAAGAAAATCCCCAAATGTATTTAGACATTTCTCGCAAACCACATCCAGAAATTAAAAGAAATTAAAGGCACATTAGAGACGATTAAGGAAATGCAGGGAAAGCCCACAGAAGCTCGAGGCTCAAGCAAGCCAAGGCAAGTGCCTGCAGCCACAGGTCTGGGGGAGGGTGGTGGCTGCTAGCTGGTTTTACTAAGATCTCTGATAGCGAATATACAATTTTAATGACCACAATAGCAGAAATATTGTTTGAACATGAGTGTCAGTAGGTCTAGGGGGTAGCAAAATCCACGTAGCACCGGCCTCCCTGCATGGTCTGTTTGCACAGGAGTGCCCCAGTGACACGCTGGACCTAAGCTGGCTCTGACCGATCAACGTCCTTGCCACACTGGGGAAGCCAATAAAGCTGCTGGGGCATAAACAAGGGCGAACGCAACCCTTTGGGAGTACTTCAGTGAAAATAATGCGGTTTCTGCCTTTTTGAGAGTACAGATTGCACAGCTGCTCCTTGGCCACGACCTGCGGGCTCTTCTCACCTGGTCTTCCTCTCCACCTCCTTCTTCGTCGTACTTCAGAATATTGTCCCTGACGTCGTCCTCGGGGTCGATGAGGAGCTGCTTGGTATGGCGCTCCTTCTCCCGGCGTTTCATCCACACCACGAACAGCAGAACCATGGCTGTAAGGGAGAAGCAGCGGGGTGAGCCTGGATCTCATGCGGCGTGAGGCCAAGCCACGTGTGCCAGAGCGCGGCGGCGTGTCCCAGCGCCTCGCCTGCCCTCTGCTGCAATGGTGTTCCCCTCAAGCCGCTAGTAAGAGGAATAAAATTTTATCGTATTGCGTGTTCTAATTTATAAGGGAGAGATCAGCGAGAGCTGTAAATACTGTGACAGGCCTCCACCACAAACACTTCTTTAAGATCCATCACGAATGCTGATTGAGCTGATGTTTATCAGAAGTTGAACACACAATCAAAGGAAAAGCAAACAGCAAGTGTGAAAACCGATGCTTTCTGAAAATATTTGATCTAAATCCTGAATTTTCAGGATTAGATTTCCACCTTTATTTTATTCAGGGGCATAAAATAAAGGCAGAGGAAAGAGAGCTGCAGAGGTGCTGAGAAACACACAGGTACCGATGACCAGCACCTGTGCACGAGCGGCTGTTCCACCAGCGTGACACAGCGCTGCCCGTTCAGGTCGCGAGCCCTCGCCACAACAGTCATTTTGCTGTTGTCTGCAGCATGCCACGCAAAACTGGTTTGGGGAGGGTGGCTAATACTGGGCATGTAATCCAATTTGGGCTCACTTATACTCTTTTTTGGTGAGTGAGGGAGGCTTTCTAAACTTCCAAGACCACATTAGCCAGGACATTAGCACATGCATTTGGCCATCGACCTGCAAAGCAGATCTAAGATCATTTGAAATCCTTTCAGATTTCAGATTCACAAGGGAGAGCAAATCTGGTAGCACACAGCCAGCCTCCTCAGGCATCAGCATTTATGTGCCAAGCCCTGGCTAATCTCTCTCAGTACGGTAACGGAGAGACATGAACAGTTCTTGAATCATGAGAAACTTCCCCCACTTAAACAACTTTACCCAAAGGGAATGACGGCTGCTCCACAACCTCATTCTTCAAAGGGTCACCCATGTCCCAGGGGCCGTGCGCTCCCTGTGACTCACTGCATGGAAGTCGCTCTGGGAACTTAAGTCTCCACTAACATAAGGCAACCAGACCTTGTCTTCTTCAAGAACCTGTTAATATGTTAGTTTTCATTCTCATACTCAGTAGCAGCAAATAATGCCATCAAAAATGAAATTAAGCCTGGGCAGCTGATGCAGTTACACCTCCCTGTGTCTGCTTTCCCTCTGTTCTCCACGCCAGCCACACACGAAGCTGTGACGGTGGCAATCTGCAGAAGAAGGGAGAGATGGATGGACAGCGGAGATGGGAACGTGTGGCCGTGGGAACGCATTCATTTCACTTAGGTCAACCCTTGACTGTGCCAAAAGAATTCAGCCGACGTAAGATCCCAAGCTCTCTTTATGTTTTTTAGCTGCATAAGGAGAAGGAACAACTGCTGTTTCCCACCATCTCATACTTTGCAGGGCTTTCTTTCCCTTTGCCTCTTCGTGGAGCCTCGGCACCGCTTCACCGAGGACAAGGATGGAGAAGAGACCAGACTCTGGGCAGGCAGCTTGCAGCCCCACTGTGTGGGGAGGTGGTTAGGAGGATCTGAGTTTTTCCTCCCAGCACCAAAGTGTTTATACCCAACAGGAATTCAGTGAAGTGAGCAGAACAGGACCGGACAGCTAATTACTGCCATTGTGTGCCAATTGGCTGCCATCCCTGCCTGCCAGCTAACAGAATTGTTTTCAGATAGTTCAGCATTTCTTTAATGCTTATCCTAGATCTACTCAAGAAAGAAAAAAAAAAAAGGAAAGAAAATGTAACTCTTATCTGCGATATAAAACCTCAGCTATTTAGCAGACTATTGAAGTCCTTTTCTCGTTGTTCCTTTTCAAGTCCCTCACAACAAGATACCTGCCTAGTCCAAAAAGACAATATTATAATGGTTACCAGGGTTTATCTTTTTCTTTCCTTTTTTTTTAAAATGCTACTTTTACATGCACTTGTGGAAAAAAACTGTGCCATTAACGCCTTTACAGCTACCTTGAAAAAAAAAAGACCTTCGAAGTGTCAATAGTGGATGTAGTGCACTCTCCTTCCTTTTATTCACTCTGCAGAATGGGAAGTGCTATTACTGCTGTTAGACCCATTTTCACTCTGCATGTAGTTTTCCTTGAAATCTATTGTCTTCACCGTTCACAATTTTTTATTGCATTGCTCTTCTAAATGTGTTATTTGTGCAGCTAATACATCAGGTATCGGGAAGAAGAAAAAAACCTTTGAGCAAAGGTGAAGGCAGAAACTTCCTTCACCTGAGCAACCTCAGATCTGTCCTCTCGCTGCTGCTTCCCTTTAAAGCCATCAAACTTTGACCTGCTGACTCTAAAATGGCCAAATAGCACAAAAAATCCTGCATCTGCCTTTTCCCAGGCTATTCTTCAAAGGTCATGATATAAAACAGATAGAAAGGATGCAAAACACTGAAAGGATGTAACTGGAAAACTGCTCATCGCAAATTACATTTTTCATCACTGATACAGTGCTTTGCAGCTCTTGAAGATAAAAAAAAGTCAATTAGAATTACAATGAATGTAAAAATAAGCTTTTGTAATAAAAACCGTAATTTAAAATGGGATAATGTATCTGAAAATGAAAAGAGGAATCTCTTAAATCAAATGTCCTTCAGCTGAAGTTAATTTCAGTCAATAGGATTTTCAACTGTTTAAATCATATTTTAGCACTGGATTTATACAAGAGCGGCAAAAAGAAATCCCATGTTTAATCACTTCTGTGGCTTCCAGTGCAAACTTTTAGCCGACCAGCAGCAGCACACCTGCAGGTCCCAGCGTACCAAACGTGGCGGGACTGACGAACACCCCGTCTTCTTCTGGGTATGCAACCGTGGTGCATTCACAACAAACGCCCTTGCCGAAAGGAGCAGCCTAAAACATTTTGCTACTGGGACCCCATACCCAATGAAAGACAGACATTGGGCATCGTGGCTAGGCACTGGGATGCTTCCACCGGCTCAGATGGGCTGGATGAGGAGCGGGGACTGCACAGCCACAAACACCCGGTTTTCTTGCTTGCTCTCCAGACTGATATGGGAAATCAATTATACAACAATATATTCCCATCGCTGGCCCAGGAGGGTGGATGTTTGCCCAGAGATGACCCATTCTCTTAATGTACCGTATCATATCCACATTAGGTGACATTTGTAGCATACGTCGCTCTGTCTGCTCTCTGTTTAAACACATTGGGGGTAAATATTAAATGTGATTTAGCACCATAACTCCCATTAGCTTTAATGGGAGTCCCATGGTTTCATCCTGTGTTTCTTGATGAATATTTACCTCATTGTTCATTTCAGCGCTCATTTTTATCTATTCCTACTGTGCCAACTCCTGCTTGAAGTTATAATGATATCATTTTTATTTTTAAGTGTGTGCACACATAGTTACTGGTAATGCTCATGAAAGCCTGGGACTAACGGCATTGCTGGGCAAAAGGGATGGCTTTGCCTTGAGCAAAGGGATGGCCAGCTCTTCTCTGCAACGCACCCCCAGCCCTCCAGTGCTCCTGATAAACTGAGGATCCTTCCTCTAAAAACACAGTCCACCACGATTCTCCAATCTGTTGTCATTTTAGAAGCAATGGGAATAACTACCATTCTTCTTTTCCTTTGAACAACCGGAAACCTACAGCTATGCAGTGGCTCTGCAAGGGACTAGCCAGACTCTCATAACCAGTACATCTGGTACTGGGAACCAGTATATCCACAGCCAGTCAGGGACAGTCAGGGATCTGAGAGCTACGGGGGAGAGTCTGCCACAGGGTTTTGGTCAAGTCCTTCAACTTTTTCCTGCAGAACGTGGGGAATCATATTGCACTCACTACCTACGAGACGCTGTCAGGTGTAATGATGTTCGTAAAGCTACTGGAAGTCTTAGAAAGAAAAGTCCGACGCATGCAGGGAATGCTCTAGCTCGTTTTGCTGACACTGCAGTGAAGGAGGTTCGAATGCAGGTGTGTGAACCACCTCCCGCAGCCCAAAGCTCACGGCTCTGTCCTTTGCATGGAGCTTGCACGGCCCTTGAAAAATACCCCGTACAGAAATGAGGCAACAGGGAACAGGATGGGAAACAGGAGGTCTCCCAGCGGTGTCACCCCCTGAGGTACTTACTTAGTAAAATAATGATGCAGATCAAGATGGCGATGATGGCGCCCGTGCCCAGCCCCGCTGCAGCCACCGCCCCGATGGTGGTGCAGTCGCCATTCTCGTCGCACGGGCACACCTTCACTTTGATAATGGATGTGTTGTACAAGGGGGGGTTTCCTGAGTCCGTCACGACGATCGGCACATCATACACACCCGCTTCCAGGTACATGATTCGTAAACTAAGCTGGGCGTAATCGCCTGGAGAGACCAAGACAGACAGACAGGTGACAGACACTCTGGCAGAGCCTTGCAGCCACGCTTGTACAGGCAGGGCTCCTCTGCCAGAGCAGTCTTCCGAGTTCTGAAGAAGAGGCTATTGACAACACACCTGGGCAGGACAGCTTCAGACTTCTGCCCCAACAGTGTGGTCAACAATCGGTCTGTCTTTGCAAAATACCGTGCGTTTTCACTGCTGCGCTAACCTACCTTGATGCCGTTTGCAAATCCAGCTGCATGCGTTTAAAATGGCATGAAATGCAAATACTAAAGCATGGATGATGTTCCCTGGGTCTGGGCTGCCCCTGGCTACTGTGCGGGCTCTCTACTCGCCCACCCTCCCACCTTGGGATTTTTGGGAAGCCCTTCGCCCCTTGATGACACGCTCAGCCAGAGAATCCTTCTCGTGTTCCCTCCCATTGCAATACAAGAGCTGGGGGACTGAGCCCCGAGCTGCGAGGGCACAAGCTGTTGCCCCTGGCCTGGCAGAAGGTGCCAGACCTCAGGGAGAGGGACCAGCTTTGAAGCCAAACCAGCCCATGGCTCCATGGTATTTTCCATCCTCTGCTGAAAGTACCAATAAGAGGAGCAATTAGGGCCATTTGTGGTTGCATGCTGCAATATAAAAATCCTTCACATACTGGTAATCTTCACACTTACCTAGCCCTCCTGGTTCCATGGTAAATTAAAAGGCTGCCTTTATGCAATTATGGTCAGAGAAATGAACATTGATCCTGATTGTGGCTTATGACAATTACACTGGAACATAAGGAAGACTGATAATAGCTTTTTTCCCCTTGGCCATTATGGATGATTTATACTCTGTTCACTACTGATAACTGTTCATAATTATGAACTGCATTAAAAAAAGCCAAGTGCCAAGGCTCTTAGAGTTATGCTGCAGGTCTGATACAAATCATTTCTGATTAACTATCTTGTCTATAATGTCAGCCATAATGTGCTTTAAAAAATAAAAATCAGATAAAAAAGTAGGAAAGTTTGGAAGTTTGAAAGCGCACGTGGCCTCATTAGTGAATCAGAGTCCAAATGTCCTCAGGATTGCCTGCCCCATTTACCATTCAGCCGTGTTATGGTCCAGTTCTTCCTCACCGCAGATGGCACACTTGGCAGCTCGAAGACAAAGGGCCCAACGTTTGGATCAATGTCAGCATCCGCGGCTGTTATGTTGATGACATTCAGGTTTGGCTTTTCACAGATCTGTGCCTCCTTTGGCAGGAGCTCAGGAGCATTATCGTTGATGTCGATTAGGTAGATCTGCAGAGTGCCAGTGCCGCTTGCGGGGGGTATACCTGAACGGGAGAGGCAGAGCCAAACATGGACTGATGACCATTACTTGAGAAGCAGTGGGAATGACAACTCCGTGGACCAGCCCCCTCTCTGCCTTCCAATTCAATAAACCAGGATTTTCACCCTCCTTCCTTGGACCTTATTAGGGACATACCGCACTTTCATGGTCCTTTGCTTTAAGAGGTATTATTAAAACTTCCCGAAGCCTCCTAATGTTGCTGTTTTTTGCTCCTGCAGAACATGGAGGTTGAGTTCTGCAGATTTGTAGCCTACGGCAATGTCCTTAGTCAAACTCTAAAAATACAAGGAGGTGATGCCAAGCTGCTAGTGCAAATTTTGGTAATGGCTGTTTTGAAGAGGAAAAACCATTAGGAAGACAGCTAACAAGAGGAAGAAGAGGGCTTGGAGGGAAGAAGAAAAGTAAGTAGTGCAATCCATTGGTCAGCATTTACTGTAGCACTTGCTAGCCAGTTTTTAGATTTGCAGACTATTACACTGCTTCAAAGAAAGCCCAACTATCCAGCCCATCCCATAGTCAGCCCTAGCTTTAGCGGTGAAAGGTCCTTGCTCGAAGCCTACAGTGTGGGCTAACCATCACCAAACACGATAGGTGATGCTATGTCCCAATATTCAGATCTTCATCCCCTCTACATGTGTCTCAACCAGCAGGGTTGCCACAGCACAGCAGTCTTGGTCCTCCAGCCCCTTATTGATGAGGAGTCACATTTGTCAGACTAACGACCACTTACACGAAGTAATACCTGCTCTGGCAAGAGAGAACAGCCTTCCCAGAAATGGCACAGTATTTTGAATTTCTCTCCCCACACATACATCTGGCAGCTGCATCTTGGCCTGCCCACTGCCTCCCTTCTCAGGCAGCATTGCTTCAGCAATTCTTTTTTAAGTTTGTATTTTCAGTCCTGGCTCTCCCTCCCAGTGCTGGATATAAAGCTACACAAACCAGTTCCCCACTTTCAAATGGTGCTTCTGCTTCCACAGACTTGCCTTCCTACATTCCTTTCTCATTTCTGCTCCATTTTTCAAGGGAGCCTTGAAAACTCTGAAGGAGCCCTGAAAAGCCTTCTTTCATGGTTCCTACCTAAGCTCTTCAATCACTGATCTCATCCTTTCATCTAATAAGCACGGGGTAGGCTTCCCTCTAAAACAATGTCTTTGATCAGCCTTGAAAGTTTCTGGAGAGACAGACAGCCCATCAGGATACTGGGGCTGAACATGAAAACTGACTTTCGGGACCAAGCAAAGCGATTTCACTGTTTTCATGTTACTCAGAGTATCTTCTGGGATGAATGCAAGGCCCACACTCTAACCTCTGAGATAGACTGAACGCAAACTAGCAGTCCTGAGAGGCACTAACTGGCACGTGGCTGAAACAACCTGCAATTGCTGCACGTACAAATGCAGTTTTGTAGGGCTATTGGGTATTGCTGGGCTCCGGTTCCTGGTGTTTTTGGTTCTTCGTGCTCCTGAGTGCAGTTCTGGGGCAGTCTCAGGAGAAAGGAAAAGTAAATAATTCTTTAAATGTCCAAGTACTACAAACCATGGAACATTTCAAGTTATTTCAGCTGTCTTATGTGCAGAGAGCAAGGACATGGAAAGAGCAGGTACTGATGTACTACAAAGGATCCTTGGACTTAATGCTCCAGAGATGAGGACCACCACAGTACCCCTGACGCCAGTGGAGAAATTGGTCTACTCTCTGAAATTAAGATTGAAATACTAATGACATTATTCCAAAAGAAAGAGGAATGCACAACTGCCACATCTGCATTTAACTGTTGCATTCCACATCACTGCCTTTTTCACAGTGCCAGCGTCGGCACTCCTGGAGTGAGGTACAAGCCAACTGGCTTTCAAGTTCAGCTGCAAGCAGGAGTCACTCCCATCCTGCTTGTGCAAAAATTTCTAAGGAACTTGGGCCACTGTCTTGACAAATCATGGCAGAAATTAAGTAAACTGTGCCTGTGGCTAACCGGCATCTTCTTGTTGTTGTGTGCCTGCAGAAAAGGAGGAACCTGCAGGCAGGGTCACCAATGCAGCCTGGTCTCCTACAGGATTGGGCCCCACAGGTGAGTTCCCATGGGGTGCTCTGATATAGAGGAAGGGGCAGGACCCTGCTTCCTTCAGTTACAGAGTCTCTCTCCCCTACTCATCTCCCTGGTTTATGAAACCTGTTGGAACATGATGCATTTGAGTTCTCAGCTTCCCTGTGAGATTGGTTGAAATTGGCTGAAGGGTTTAGCCACTGCCAGTCTTCACACCTGTGTAGACACAGTGTGATCCAAGAGCCTCTCTCTCCTGGGAAACCAGGCTACAAATATGCTGTTGATGAGGATTCCCCCCCGCCCCCCGCCCTACACTGCAGTCAAAACTTTTCTTAAAGTGACTATCTCTGCGCTGTAGCCCAGGGAGAGAAAGAGAGCATGCCCAAGGAGTATTTGGATAACCTTATCATATACTGAAAACAGCAAAAAGAACTTCAAGGAAACATCATGCTGCTGCTTCTTCAAGAAAGAAAGAAAAATCCCCACCAAAACCCCCAACCCAAAGCCTTTCTTTGATGAGTATGTGATGCCGCAGAACCTGGAACTTGGGAGAAATGTGGAAAGAGTCTATTAGCCTAGATAAACTTTACCTGTTATCCTAAGCACTCTAGACAGAATTTTAAACAAGGTGTTGCTTTATGTGCATGTTAATGGCTGCAATATACCAGTGATAGATTAATTTTTCAGAATAAAGAGATTTACCTAGGTCCTCACTTTCTGACCTGCTGAATGATGGATGTGGAAGCGCTGATGCACTGCAGCATCAGCACCGAAGCCAAGGAAAGGGGTTAACTCCAAATCACGTTGTACTAAGTGCCCGGGATTTGCAAGGTCAGATGGTGAGGATTAGTTTGACCAGTTCAAGCTCTACCACTGCTTTTGTGAATAGCCTCACAAACAGCCAACTCCTTTGACCTGTTTTGCCTCGCGGCTCTTGCAGATGAACCTGCTAGATCCCCTTGAGACTATTTTGGATTTCACTGCCCCGGCTGCCTTCACAGAGGGGAAGCTTAGGATGGGGCTGTGGGACCACACCAGTCTTACCACTGATGGCACAAAGAAGGGCCAGAATTTGCTTCTGGGTACTGCTACTCGGCATTGAAACTCTTCCATGAATTTGCCTTGCCCCTGTGACCCAGGATGCAATGACTCAAGTGAAGCCTGAAACCCCAGAGGGAGCGAGTTTTCATTCGCCCTGCAAGCACCGCCGTATCTGCTCATAATGGACGTGGCACCTTCAGCCTGAGGGATGACAAGAGCTAACACAAACACTGTCCTGAAAGCACCTACAGACTGAGCAATACACTTAGGTGCTCACAGCCAAGCCTAGACTTAATTTTGTTGCTGAAACACGGCTCTGGTTTGATGTGAGCACTCAGCACCCTGCAGGGGGAAGACGTGGGTCGGAGAGGGGAGCAGAAGGCCCTCTCCTTGCCCAGGGAAGCTACTGAGCCCTCCACAAAGCCTTTTCCAACCGGAGGAACCGACGAATGAAATAACAGCATGACCACATTTAGGTATGGTTAGCAAAAAAGTCGTCAACTCCTCCTAATCAGAATTAGGAACGGGAATCCAGGGCAGCAGCAATGGACCTCTTGCCCTTGAGTGAGGCCAGCGCTGAGGTTCACAGTGCTAATTTGACCAAAAGCACTGTGTGATCTTTAATGAGCAGAGACGAACAAGTCTTAACAGGACTTCTCCGTGAGAAGATCTGTACTGGCCTCAGCAACTTTGATAATAAAATACACCAGCATCCAGACACTCTGATGATGGCTGGACGTTTCAGAAATGGTAGTGGACAGAGAGAGATTAGCTCCAATGACAGACAGACAGACGCCTTTCATGAAAGCCACGGCAGCTCAATAGATTGGCTTATTTTTAATACCCTCCTGCCATCCCCTACAATTACTTCTGGTTTCCTGATGGAAGGCTTCCTGAATGCTCTGATCACTGCCTTTGGGACGATTACCAGGACCGATGTGTTCGGCAGCCCTTGGAGAGCACATCCCTTTGATATTTTTTCAAGTTCAGGCTACACCGCTACACTGAACTCCCCAAATCGATTTTCCATTTGCCCTCCCTTTCCCTTAATAACACTCTCCGTATACTGTGCACATTTAATTTACTCCAGCAATTTCCCGTCCCACTTTCACATTTTTGACCATAAAAACCTGGGAAAAAGATAACTTATACTGACAACTCTGTCAGGGCATCATTTCTCTTAATGCATCACATTAGAGTCTTATTGAAGCATGAACAATGTGAAGCCTGGGCTCACCGTTGTCAGCCGCCAAGAATGTGGCCTCGTAGACATTATTCTTAATGTAGTCTGACTCTCGATCAAGGACAGCAGCAGTAGTGATCTGACCATTTGTGGCATTAATGTTCAGCCAGTTTGCAGGATCTGACAGCTTAGAGTATCTACAGAGAAAGGAAATAAATACATGGTAGTCTTTTCACTGACATATCCTTAATATTGCTTGAAATAAGGTTTTTCTGGACTCCTGACCCATGATTCAAAGGACCTTTGGATAACTGGTTCTGTTGACAAACAAAATGCTAATTGAGTATCTGTTTTTTGACCTCTGCAATTATTCAATTTTTCTATTTCTTTCATTTTAAAGGTTTTTCTTTCCACTAAGTGCCACTTACATGCCAGCTTCCTGCTGCTGGGAGTGGACATAGCCTGAGGTCTGTGCAGCTGAGGAGAAATGGGGTCTGCAATGACCACTGCATTCATATGCCTGAATTAGAGGATGGATTCCTGCTCTCTCCTTCTCTTAACATTGCCCTTCCTAAACCAGCTGTTGCTCTAAAGCTGTGGATATTGCTGTTTTCTGCCCATCACTAATAAACAACAGTTTGGGAAATACCACACGGGAAGAATGGCAGTTTTCAGGCCACTCTTTTGTATCAGAATGGCATCTTCAGCAGCAATTGCCCTGGGGACACTGTAATGGGAAGTCACAGCTGTATTAAGACGTGGACTCGCGGGGGAAGCAGTTTCAGGTCTGCTCTCCCAAAACATTTTTATATGTTCCTGAAATAGCAGGTGAGATGATCCTATGCATGTGGGAGGTTCAAAGAGAGCAGTGACAAGGGGGTCCCCTTGGCAGTCCCCAGTGTTCCCAGGGCTGGAAGGACCCAATGGCAGACTTGCCTCCCAACTACTCAGTCAACTCATAGCCCACGTCTGTTCACGTCCTACGCAGCCAGCTACGAGCGTGGTTTGTTTGAGGCAAACTTTTTGCATGTTCTCCAGATCAATGTGTTCTGTTTACCTTTCTCACTTGCTTGTTTTCCTTTGTTTTATTTTATTCGTTGCTTTTGATTTCTACTTCTCAGTTTTGTACAGTTTGAGTTGAGATGGACCCTTATTACCTGAACTGGAAGCTAATAAATGGCCAAACTATAAATTACTGAAATAAGCAAAAAGCTGAGCTTATTTCATGGGTAACTCAGAGCTGCTGATAGTTTTATATAAACTTTTTGTAGTTAGATATGCAGAAAGAAGAACTGCTTGCTTCTGGTGGATATTCCTTTCCAGAAATGGGCTGTTTGAAGCTGAAATTCAAAGTGAAACTTGAGCTGCGTCAATCTGTGTGAGCAGGAAAGCAACACACAGCTGCACAAGCCCCTGCCAAAGGAAAGAATTACATTTCATGGAGCTAGACTCTTCGGGATGTTTTCATTTCTTTTTAATATCACTGCTGTGAGTCTCCTGCCCTTTCTCTGCTAAATGACCAGGGATCCAGTTTCAAAGCTGGCTTTGTGAATGTGTCTGTGGCTAATGAGGATAACTTGAGGTGTGACACTGGCCATGCCAAGCTGTGCCTTACTGGAGATGCTCCTGCTTCCTTATCTTCTATTTGTAAAAACTCTATTTCATCAAAGACTATTTAGAGAGAGACTGAAACCTGTATGCAGGGCTCTAGCAGCTGGATCAGCTCTCTGTGAAGTGCTTATCATGGATCTGTAGGCTTAGCTTTTTGGGTATCTTTTCTCCTAACTCACCAATGCCAACTGTGAAGAAAAAAACCAAAATATCCTTTGCATAGCTCACGAAGACAGGACCCCAACAATACCCCACTGCTTCTTGTGAAGCCTTGGTGTTGGGCTGTCCCGATGAAAAAGGGGTAAGAGAGATTGTACTTGGCTTTGAAAATGAAGTGCTGGTAGGTACACAAAATGTGTGTCCTGGAAGCCCTAGGAAAAAAACTCTCAAGTAATTGGCTGTTCATATTCACAGAAAGTCTTACAAGACCCTGCACACACACTGTGCGATGACAGGAATGGCTCAGCAGAGCCGGTCCTTCTCCCAGAAACAGCAGATGCTCATTTGGATTATAGATCATCCACCTCCAGGTTAGAGGGAGTATTCAATCAGAAATGAGCCGTTTTCTCCTCTGAAAACCAGACCAGTTTGGTACAGACGTTAGGGAAATAAAAACCCTTCAAAGGCCAATATTTCAAAAAGAATATAAGAAAAACTGGCTTGTTAGTTAGGATGGTCTCCTTCCTCAAAAGTCACAATACCTGTCTAAAGACAACAAGATGAGGCAGTGAATAAACTATCATTTTCTAGACCAGACAGCTCTGTGCCAGGTGAAATATTTCAAACTCTTCCTGACATGAAATGTCACAACTGATATAAGTTTAAGTGGCCTCGGCTGTGGTCATGTCGTACACTCAGGTTTTGCCAAAAATGCTATGGTCCTTACAGACTGCGAGTAAAAAAGAAACAAAATTCCGTGGATTTAGAAGTATCCAAGAGCAGGCAACGCATTTCCCGTCTGCACAGACGGAGGCTGAAATACTTGTGAAAGGTGTCATGAGGACTCATTTTCACACACACTTTTCTGCCTATGTATTTCCCAGTGGGAAGGCGTGTGAGTCGGGGTCCTGGACCGTGGATTCAGTCCCCAGTCTGCCCAGGTGGGACAAAACACAGTGAGTGACACCCTCCCGGTTGCAGAATCGGTCAGACTAAATCCAATCTTAAATTGCTTAGATAGAGCACCTGACTTTTAGAAGGCTAAAATTTTGCCATCTGAATCTCATTCCTAGGGAAAGCAGCTAACAACGAGGTTATGTTTGGCAGTTGGTCTGAAGGTCAGAAAAAATCTTGCTAACTGCAGGGCAGGCAAGGGCTGCTGGGGTGCCTGATATGGACTGGCATTAGTCAGATAAAGACCAAGTGCCAATGGCATGTGCATGGGTGTTTGACTGCTCAGGCAATACCTAACTATATGATACCTTAAAAGCCTGTTCAGCAGCTGTTTGTAACCAAGCCAGCCTTGCTCTGAACGGGCTGACAGCTCCTCTCACACTGCGCTTTTTAAGCCAGGTTGAACCTAAATCCTCTGGAAGCAACAACAGACATGATTAAAAATCCTAGTCATTCCTTTTGGAAATCTAACCCTTGCCCTTTCTGTGCCTCGGTTTCCCCCTCGTAAGACAGAAATAACAAAGCTGCCTTTTCCTAAACCTCTGTGTTTATAATGTGCATGAACAACATAGGTCAAAGCATCCTTGACGAGGCAGAGACAAAACACTCAGTACAATGCAGCCCTGACCTCTGTCTTTGGAACAACGCAGGGACACCTTGCTATCGACTGCTTGCATTTCAAGCTGTGAACTGCCCCTCCACATGCCAGTAACGTGGAATTCAACTCTGTCTGCCCTCCCGGACCCAGCTGCTCGGAATCTGGCTTACCTGGAGGGGGGAGGATTGCGAGTTTACAAGCTTGCAGGATACTCTGCAGGCCCTCGACTGAGGGTGCCAGTCCCTGCCAAGCATTTTACTCATATCACATCACTTAGTTTGTGAATTAGCTTTCAGCTGCTTTGCTCCCCAAACTTCTGCAGCTGATATCCCCCTCCTGTACACGAGCTCACTTGGCTGCCTGGTCTCCCACCTTACTGCCTGCTGCATGAAGCGATCAGGATCCACCGCTGAAAATGTCGTCAGGACTGTCCCCGTAGGCACCCCTTCCTCCAGCCTGATTAACTTGTGGTTCGTTGGGAAATACGGTGCTTCGTTGACATCTGTGACTGAAATGGTGACTCCTGCTGTTGACTGGAAGGACATCTGGATGCCACTGGCCAGGGGAGCTTGGTTTGATACCATCACTGTCAGCATGAAAGCTCTGTTCATCTCGTAATCGACTGCCTAAGACAAAGAAACAAGCAAGTATAGAGCCAAGCAGAGAATAAATTCCACCTTCTGGCTGAAAGCTGCAAAATTTAGAAGGCAGATGATATCAAAGTCATTGCCTCATCTCGTTTCCGCCTGAGCTCAGTCCTTTTGAAGGTGTAAATCCAGACCAGCTTCAATCCGGTGGAGGATTTGGCCTTCCAGTATTTGGAGGGTCAAATAGTTAAAAAAAACCCCACAAAGTAAAAATTGCAAACAGCAGGGAGGATTTGCCCTGTGTTTTGTTCTAATGCTAACTGGTTTCCAAAAATGAACCTGCCTGTGTTAGTTGAGCATTGAGTGAACAAATCCACCAAGGGCTGCTCTAAATGCAACAGGTAGAGCTTGCTAAGAGGGACTGGACAGGTACTTAGCAGTGCTATTAGCATTTAAAGCTGCTGACTAAGTAACTAGGACAGTCTGTGCGGAGCCATGAGCCTGAAGTTCTCTTCATGTTTCCTCTTAAGTGAGTTTATAAACAAAGGTGAAGCTGCAGGAAGCAACACCTTGTCCGGTTAATCAGGCGGTCCTTCCAGTGGGACCTCTCATCCTCTTGCAAGGTGCCTCGTTATCTCCTGAGGTTGCCCGCACACTCCTACAGACGGGTTTTGCTGTTGGGTGGCCACAGATCTCTTCTCAACATGCACATAAAGACTATGTGTCTTAGGAGCCAGAAGGAGTGAGAAGCCTTTGCTGGCACAACTGACTGAACCGCAGTATAAAAATAATTTCTAAACCATCCCACTAATTATTATGAGGGAAGTCGCTAATCATCTGCCAGGGAGGCTTGAGTTATGCAGGATCACACCTCTGCTTGTTAAAAAATGCTTTGCCGTAATTTATAAATTTAGAAGCGTAACCATTCTCCCTAATACACTCTCCAGCGCTGAGTCTGCAAAGCGTACTCTGACGGTGTAAAATGCCACGGTTACATTGACTTCGGTAGAGCTGTACTGATTTACATCAGCAAAATCTGGCTTCCATGTTCTGTTTAAAACCCAGTATTGTCAGGAGAGAAATCAAATCATAGGAGGCTACATGAGAAAAACAAATTTCAGGGGCAAAAGGTAAAACAGTGAAATCTCTATTCGATTGAAGTGCAAATGTTCCTATTGCTAAATGGTTTCCTGACAGGCAGGGCCAACATTTAATAAATAAAAGGATGCATAAAGATTCCCAGTACACCCACCAGCACTGACTCACGGACTTGTACCGCATTCAAAAAAGACACATGGTAAAAGTTCCCATTTAAACACTATTCAGGGCCTTGAAACAATTTGACTAATGCATTTCCTCAATTTCTCTTCACACCCCTCTAATTGATATTCATCCAGTCTTCATTTTTTTGTTGGTTTTCTTTTGTGCTGGCCTGTTTGCTAACCTTGCCCACAGCCGGTCTGCACCTCCCTACCCAGAGGGGCTCAGCTGGAGCCGGGGGGACCGATCTGAGCATCCCCCCAGGGCACTGATGCGGGAAACCACTGGACTCCTGCCTGATGATGCACAGGACACACCGACCACACACATATCTGCTAGGACATGGCCTGATTCAAGGGAGTGTTTTTTTTCACCCCCCAAATGTAGAGCTGCTCAGTCAGCTTCCTTCCCTCTCTTCTGGGAAAGAACAAAAACCAGGGCTGTAGAAAAGCAGCGCAGGGAGTGGGGCTGGCCCGGGACCACTCAGTAACGCCCAGCTCCCAGACTGTCCTGGCGGCATCAGTGCCACATGCTGGCACATGGTGGCACAATGTCCACCACGCTTCGGTTTGTAAGAGAGTGCCGATCTGCCGATATTTTGTTGAAAAAATAAGGTAAAATCAAGAACCTGTGCCTCCACAGCAGTGTTTGTGCTATTGTCCCCAGCGGGACAGGAGCCCCTTGCAGCCAGACACAGTCCAGCCCTACGCAGAACTTCTTTCACACCATAATAAGCAATTTCTCCCAGGACAGTTCACACTTCTGCTTCCTAAACCTGCCTCCCTCTGAGGATAACGGTGCACAGAGCGCACCGTGTTCTTCACACCGCCCTAACCCCTTGCATCTCCGTGCATCCCACTGAAAATGCTGCATATTGATCAGGCCGACAGCAGGACCAAAAGCACACGGTGCCATTACTTCTGGGGCAAGGAGGTGCTGGACTGCTGCCTACTTTTTAATTTCATGTCCAAGAAGCACGCGACATGAAATTAAGAAGTAGACCTTTGCAGATACCCCTTGTTGGATTTTCAGTGTTTGATCTGGCACAAATGGCTCTGAAACATCGCCCTGGAGAAGCTGCACATCCTCCTCCTTCACTAGCCTCTCCAACCTGCATGCAGCAGAGTGAAGCCGAGGGCTTGCCATGTATCCTCCTTTTCTCAAGGTACTTTTAACTGGAGAGAATAAATTTGCCTTATGCTATTGTTGACGCAAATAATAACAGAAGCTTCGGAAGCATCTCCATTATAAATTCACAGCTCTGATCCATGCAGAGTTTATAATAACATTTTACTTAGCCGGCTCCCACAGGACAGCCACTGCTGCTCTTGGAGATTGTCTCCAGATGCTGCGGTGTCTTATCTGAGTGGGAAGTTTCTCTCTCTCCTTGATCAAGGCTTTCTTTGAAGATTAGGGTCTTGTATGGTTATGGAAATGGTTTGGAAAGGCATGAACAGAAAAAGGAAACGTTACACTTTTGGTGATTGGACTGGAGCTGCAGATGGGGTTTTGTTGAAAGTGGCTGCAAAATGGCCCCCACGAGCATCATCTGAACTCCAAAGGGCTTCTTGGTTCGGAAGCATTTCTGGCCCTCCATTTCTGGTCCCCAAACTGCTGGTGGAGGGGTGGGATTCTTCACAGAACGCCCTTCTCTGCCCTGTTTCTGTGACTGCTGTAGCCCAGATGTAAAACCTTTTGCTTGCAGCAGTGGGGAGTTATGTATAAGCGGCTTCAAAGAGCCGCGTAGAAGTCCAGCTATGTAGGGTCTGTAAATAAAAAGGTTCGTTACTTGGCTTCATTTTTTACCTGCGTTTTCAATCTACACCAGGGATCAAACCAGCAAAAGACTGCGCCTACACCACGAACAACGAGCTCTGACTGGCCACCCAGTTCGATGTGCATACGTTCCCCAAATGTTTAAGCATATTCACTTATTAACGGAGAACAAAATATTTCAAAGAAGAAGGTGGACTCCTAAGAGTCTTCCCTTCTTCACCATGAAAATTTAATCACAAGCAATTTCACTCATTCTCCTTGCTGAAAATACACCAAAAAGCCTCCCGGCTTGATAAGGGTAAGAAACTCTGGGCGCCCAGGAGGATCAGGTGAGGTTATATAGTGAAGACATTCAATGCAATTTCAAGCTTTGAGCTCAGCTTGACAAGATAGGATTTTCATGTGGTTCTTTGCATTGTGATCACTGTGGGTTACACAGCACTGGAAAGTCAACACCAGCATCAATGGTGTCCTGACAAATCTGTCCTGCTTTTTGCCTGCAAGTTCTGAATATGGGATGGTTCATTATGCAGAAGTCCTTGTGTAGCAGTGATGATCATGTAAATCCCCTGTTGTTCACTTTGATGTGCTTGTAAACTGCAGTCGTGACACTTTACTGGATTAAGAATAAGGGGTCCTCCCCTGTTTGCAAGCGAAAACATTGACATTTCAATTTCAGACTAGCTGCTGATGTCAACGGAAGTTAAATTGTTGCATTTTACTTTGTTGAATGTTTTCTGTTTAAGCAGAAAATACATACATATGGATACATGTATACTTACATGCATACATGCATCCATATACACGTGTCTTGGAACTACTGCTAAGCTTGAAGAGGTTTTGTAACATTGCATCAGATAAGGCTGTCAACCGTTATTACAGAGCAATAAAGAGTGATAAATAAAAGGAGCCTGCTGAAATACCATCTAGCAGGTAAGATGATGTCTCCCTTAAAGTTTCAGCAAAGTGGCATCTGCAGACACACACACATAGCCTAAGGGTCAGAGAACAGGACAAGCTCACAAGCTCACACGTTCTTACCAGCGTAACCTCATTGGCATTTCACTGATGTCATTTTTCCTAATACCCAAACCATATGTATTAAGAATGACTGCAACTTATTAGCTACAAGGGAGCGGGGCTCTTTTTTTCAACACAGAGCTATTCTTAAATCCCGTTGCTCTTTAAACATTAGTGTTTCATCCTAAGTAGTTGGTTAAAACTTTTTGTTAGAGAAGGCCAGACTTATCAAAAGTTGCAGGCTTCGTCCATCCCACAACGTATTATCTTTTTCAGGTGCAGCGCGCAGTGCATGTCGTGCGAGCTCCTAGAGATCACAGCAGCCTATTTGTGACACCTTCACTCTTTTGGCAGTCAGAGGGAGCATCCATAGGCATCTTATCTGGGAAGAGAGTCAGTGAACGCTGAATGGATCCGGTTATGTTCTGGCTGCATGTAATGACTGCACAAACATTCACTGCCTGGGCTGCTGGCCTCGGTAACTCAAAGGGAAGCGAACGCTCAAATGAAGATAAAGTCATGTTCTTTGGAGGCAAGGAGGGAAAGAGAATTTGATACTTGCTGCAGGTATCTTGAGGGTTCCAGCTCCCCTTACGCTGAAGGCAACAGATGGAGGAAAGAAGGGATGGTGGATATTTACAGTCTTACTTCGCTGTCTTTGGACAAGATCCTCTGCTGATCTAACCTGGGGAATGGCTTTCACTTGAGTGGAGCTATTCTGAGCTGAGGATCTGTCCCATACTGCGTGTTTATCGCTTGATACTAGGAAAAGGAAACATTTCTTGCAGCTTTTTTCTGCCAAGCAACTCGATCAGACGAAAATCTCTCCTTTCCTTCTGTAACCAGGAAATTCACTCCTCCTGAAATCTCTCCTGCACTCGTACTTTCACAGAGGATCACTTGACTGATCCCCTGCAGTGAAACGCTACCTCTGATTCACAGCTAACGGGGCATTTTCCGGCTCGAAAAGAAGAAGGTGCAGCCTCTGCCCTAAACCTGCCAGGCAGGGCAGGGCTGCACAGCCCAGGCACCATTCCCTCTTACGGCGCTCAAAAAGCTAAGGAGGAGCAGGACACGGAGGTCAGGCTCGGATGCTGGGAAGAGCCTTCAGCACAAGAGAGTTTATGAAACCTTATGGTGGGCTGGGCTGAGTTGGGAAACTCAGAACCTGTGGCATACGCTTGAAGTAAAAGTATTCAGGACTCCAGCACAGAGAGAGACGGGAAACAACAGATTTGAGCACTCATATTCCCAGGTAAAGAAGGCACGAAATAACTGCAGGCTTCTGGCAATCCTTGTAGCCTTAGGTAGCTGAAAGGGTGACAAATACAGATTTGCTTTGGCTTCCCCCTTACCTTCACGACGGTTACCATGCCTTCGTTGGTTATGGGGTCTGTCCGGATGGTGAAATGGCCAGAGGGGTCTCCGCTGATAATACGGTAGATGGCATTCCAGTTGGGGGAGTGAGGCTGGTCCCGGTCCATCACCGTCAGATTTGCCACCACAACCTCCACTCTGTTCTCAGGAACTTCTCCTGAATACTGCAAATAAAAGACAGAAGCGGTCATGGTGGGAGCTTTCTGCTGGTCCTCACAGCTACCTCCCTTCTCCCCTACATCAGCATGCCGACTGGGCAATCAGTCCCATGAAGAGGACCACGGGGTTATACATTATGAGCAATACATCCCTTTCTCCCTTCTGGTTTTCTTATTTTTTACTTTGAGTATTTTTCCAAACCTTTCAAAGCCTAGTTTCACCTTTCAGCCTGAAGGAGAAAAAACCCGCTATCACCTTGTCACTGCCCAAGTTTCAGCAAATGCTCGAAGTAAACGAGCAAAAAATGTTCCTGATATTCTCATTCAGTTACAGCAATCAGAGAGTTAATTGTCAACAGCAGGTAAAAATGGCAGACTAAAATGTGCATTTTTTAGGATGACTATGTCCCTTTAACCTGAGGTATTTTGCCTCACTCAGGTTTCAGTGATGGCATTTTATTGCTTCTTCAGTGATTTTACTTCATTTTCTTTCTTTCTTGCCCTTGATTTGATTTTGTCTCATTATTTAAAGTGTTTCTTGTGATTTTGCCACAGCCTTTCCTGGTGCTTAATTCTCTCATTTAGCACTGATTTTCATGAAGCATGTCCCGTTCAGGCATATCCTGATGCATTAACTACATTCTTTTCTGCTTTCCAGTCCTTGATTTATCATACGACTGATCAGGGATCCTGGCCTGTGAATACTTCCAGTGTTTGGGACTCAAAAGCTGCCAGTAAGACACATTCCCAAATTTTCAACTGTCCTCATCTCTCAGCATCGCCTATTAGCAGCACTTGCAAATCAACACTCTGATTGACATATGGCAAATTAAACACTGGGGAAATGACGGGAGTGGCTGGCTCCGAGTCTGCAACTGAAATCCTGGCCCCAAACTGCAGGAGCAGAGCACTTCTGAAAATCTGGCCTTTGGTGCCTTTGGTGTGCACAAATGCCAGGTTATGTAAATGATAATAAATCATTCCTTTGTTAGCACAAGAGTCCCTTTCCACTCCTAACCCATACCCATCCATTGGAGTCTTTTGGTTATGTGCATTTATATTTAATATATATTATTCCACCACTGACAGCAAAAATATTCAATCTGCCTTATGTTAATGTAAATTTAAATTTGCCTTTTAGTGGTACGCTGAATGGCATTTTGCCCTCTTTTCTGTTATGCACCTGTCCTAAACAAGTTTTCATTAGTGAATGCAGATGGCATCTCTTTCCAGCCATGCTGAGTGGTAGAGAAGAACAGTAGGAAGCTGCGGGATAATTCTAGTTCCAGTACATGCTACAGCTCTTCTTTTCTCTTCATTTCCCATGATTTTACTCGTTTTTTACCCATTCTCTTGCCCAATTTGGAATCTCTGCGGCACACAGCTTAAGCAGGGGAAATACCATATGGAAATTTATCAAAAGCCTCTTGAAAAATCCATTAGATTATGTCATATCTACTACCTTGTCTGAAACCTGCTCAAAAGAACTCAAGGAGATTAGTTAAGCAGGATTGTGTCTTACTAAATCCACACTAGTTATCTATTGCCCATTACATTAAATTAATGTTGTATGGCATGCCAGCAATGACAAGTTGATGAGCCCCCAGTCTCTTTTAGGAGACGGCTGCACCGCTAACATCAAGGTAGCGTACTGTAACTTCAAAGGAGTTAAGCACTTTGTGTAACCATCTCAGATCTTTGACCCAGGACCACAGTTTTTCATCCGTTACTACCAGGCTTGTGCCTTGCAGAACTAAACAGAATTAACTCATCAAGAGCAAGCCATCGGTTGTATTTAAGACATTTAAGAGGGTCAGTCCTACAGGCTGCTGAACACCTTCAGTAGATCGTAACTCGGGTGCTGCCAATCAGTTTGGGTTACATGGAAAAATCCCACACTATCGCCAACAGATTTTACAGCAGCTTCTGTAAAAGCCATCACAACATCTGTTTTTGGCCTGCAGAGATAAAGTTTACTACGAGACATATTTTAAAAATATGAGGTATATTAAAAATTGTAAATACACAAGCACATCTCAATATAAAGCCTGGAGGAAGATCGCCAACAGTCTATAAAGCTTTTTCACTAGGGTAAAAACCACAATGCTCTGCATATACTGAGCAATCCAGTTCACCCAGTTGTTGTTGATACCTGTTAGGTATAGTTAGGGAACGATCAGTCCTATGTAGCAGCGGGTGGATATGTAGCGTAGGCTGGATATTGTCTGTTATGCTTATAAAGCCAAATATTTTTCTGATGAGAACAGAGTACAAACACAGGAATCAAAGGAGCCATCCAAAGCTATTCAGGTTGGGAAACAAATTTTGGAGAGATGCACCATGAAGAACAGAACAATTTTCATCAGCTACAGATCAGCAGCTACTGGGAATCCAAACCAGAGCCTGTCTTTCCTCCTTCTAACACTCCCCCACTATCATTATTATAAGTAAATGCTGTAACTTTTATTGTCCAAAATTGTCTTTACCTTTAATAAAATTAAGTAATGACATTAAATTACGTCTGCTAAAGGAAGGATGGCAGCACAAAGCTACCCACACTTCTTTAATGTTGTTCCCTTCCTACCCTGGAGTAACTTAGGAAAATGAACAATGCCATCTTTCACTATGCTGCTTTCCAGCATTCCCTGTGCTGTAAGTTCTCTTTCATAAGATTACAATTGATTTTCAAATAAAGAGAAGCATATCTATTCAAACAAGGTAAAACAATGGGCAACGGAGTTGCTGCTGGAGTAAACATAAGATTGATAAAGCAGTGCTTGACCTATACTTGTAGCATTTACTCATATTCCCCTGTATTTCATTTAGCTTCACTTTCAATTGTTGCATTTGAAGTCTTTAATTTCCAGAGTGCTTTTTAAAAGACCATTCACAAGGATTTCTATGGCTGATGGTTACACACTTCGCTTCTCTTCTCAGATAAGGATTTGTTCTGAACCTGGCATGTTCTTAAATCCTTAAATTCTGCAGGGTCTTTTTTCTTCCCCTCCCATAAAAGCCTGTGCTGGCAGAAGTCCTTCTCTCATTCCTATGGAGCTGGCCTGTCTGAAGTCATGTCGTGCTGAAAAGGTAGTAATTCATTCTGATTTTCAGGTTGCATCAGATTATACTAAAATTGGTTAATCCCAGAGTTTGTCTTTCGTCTCACTCGGTACCTGACAGCATATAAACACGCAGACAAAAATCACTCCAGAGGAGAAAGGGGCTGATGCGGGGGGACAAATGATGAATTCACACAATGACTTGACTTTGTGCAATAAATCTGGAGTCTAGGCAGCGAAGCCACACACAGCAGAGTAAAACCAATTAGCTCACTGCAGCCAGTCCTAGGGAGGTGTGGAATTAAGATGGATGAATACAAAGGTAATTATTCAGGCTTCCTTCTAAAGGGAGTTCCTTTTTTCCAATGTTCTTACTTTTTTTCTAGCTGATTTTGCTAAAAAAGCTGTGAAAGCAAAGACTTGTTCACACGAACAGGAAAGATTTTTGTGTCGTCTCCAAGATTTGCTAATGATGACGCAACATTTGTTACAGGCAGAAGTAGTTTACGAAGGCTGAACTGCCTAGAGAAGTAGCGGTTTATGACCTATAGCTACTGCTTAATGCAGAAGAATAAGGGCATCTCAGTCCTCTTATTAGACTCCGAGCCCTTCCCCTGACAGCTATGACTGCTGCAAAGTGCCGCATCTTCTCTCTAGGTCCCCTTGGTTGAGAGAAATCGAAATGAGAGTGAGCGAGCGCACGCGTGGCGTGGGATGTCCCATCTCCCACCGCTTTCTGCTACAGCAAGCTCCGGACACGAGGTGACGTGCAGCCGGGGAACCCGGCACGCAGAGGGCTGCGTTCGCCCGCGGCTTGAACACCGAACCCCAGCTCCTCCACGCTTAAGGGCATCCTCCCAACCAAGCGCTGGCATGCGAGCCGACTGGTTACCTTTTCCGCACGATATTTAACAAAGATGCTTGAATAGCAGGCAAATTAATAAACAACTGCAGTCTGGTTGCAGCAATCTGTGTAAAATGGGAAAAAAAAAAAAAAAAAGTCGAAAATCTCCTAATAAATCATTAATTGTGATGTGCCTGCCCAGCTGCAGCGCGGAAACAAGCAAATGCCATCCTAATTGATTGCTTCTTATTCCATCTTTATAGGCCTGCATTTTTTATTGTGGGGGTTGAGTAAGCCCAGAGGTGTAAAAAACCTCTAGACTGTACTCTGTGTATCTGCCGACTTGATATTTAGATCAATAATCCTCTTTTTTTTCCCCCCTACTCCTACTACCGGTAATTTAGCTTTTCTTCCTAGCAGCCTAATTGCTGTTTTCTTAAGCCTTACTATCAATTCTCTGACCTTTAATTTCCAATATTGTTTGCTGTATGGATGACTGTACTAGGTCTGCAAGTTATCCTACACCCTCTATGCCGTACGGGTCAGACTTGGCTATCAGCTTCTGTGACGGCCAAACAGTGACCTCCAGGTTCTTGCTCCACCGTTGCCGTTGTGCAGCACAGACCACAAGCTCACTCGACTCCCCACAAAATCTCCGTTAAATCAACCATATTTTGCGTGCAAATCAGATTTTGAGATGCTCATTTCTTAATCATGTTTTACTAAAGAACTACTCACTTCAGCGTGTTCTCAAACGATGACCACCCTCTCTTCGCTTTTTTTCTGAGGCAGCCCACGACCCCCCTGCTTTGCCCCAGCCAGCAACCCCTCCGTAAACCTCTTTGCTGTTGGTTTTTCAGGTTCGTGCCCACAACATCCCCTGCACTGCAGTGTCCCTGCTTCAACTTCACGTTCACTTGGACCTACTCCACAGTCCGTCCACGTACGCATATCACGCTTCAGACTAGTTAGATGCCATGTGGCAAATGCTTCCCAAACGTTATCTATAAAGCCCAACGCACTCTTGCCAGCTCGCAGTTTTGCTCCGCTGGTACGAGGCCCAGCTGTCACGGTGCTCATTCAGAAACGAATTGCTCGGGTTG